AACTTGTCAATCAGAAAGGTCGGCAGTTTGGTGGTTCGAATCCCTAGTGCCATGTAACAGAGTGAGCTCCCGTTACTTCTGCCAACAGCTTCTGCCAACTTAGTAGTTTGAAAGCATGTAAAAATGCAAGTAGAAAAATAGGAACAACCTTTGATGGGAAGGTAACAGCATTCCATGTGCCTTTGGCATTTAGTCATGCCAGCCACATGACTACAGAGATGTCTTCAGACAGCGCTGGCTCTTCAGCTTTGAAACGGAGATGAGCACCGCCCCCTAGAGTCGGGAACGACTAGCACATATGTGCAAGGGCAACCTTTACCTTTTATTGCTGATGTATTGTTACTGTTTTACCTTTGGAAGATTAGATTAGATTAGATTAGATTAAATTGGATTATCATAGAGAAAATGTATCTATTTGGTCATTAGAATTGGCAACTTGATGGCATATCATCAATTAATCAATGTGTAATGTTTTAATTTCTTTTTTTGTGTTTTTATTACTTATCCTACAGTTCGTATTCTGAAGTCCTTTCATTTAACTGGTCAGAAGTAAAATAAATAAGCAAAGAGATTTCATTTATAATTGGCATAATAGTGACTGTTTACTTTATACATGGAGGTAAGAAATCTAGGGAAACATGAGTACTAATAGTCTTCTAGTTTCTTAACCTTGGAAACTTTAAGATGTATAGACTTCGATTCCCAGAATTTCCTATCCAGCACTCTAGGGTGGCTTGGGAATTCTGGGAGTTGAAGTTCTACACATCTTAAAGTTCCCAAGGTTGAGAAACACGGCCCAAGTGTTTCCCCCATTTCATCCACCCCCTGAAGAGAAGCTTATTGTATACAGTAGTGAACCTCTAAGCCAACACAAAAATACCCACAGTTAACATCAGTGTAGAAGCAACAGTATGAATAAACTGATATATTAATATAAAGATGAAAATAATCGGAATCAAATATGTGACATAAACTAGCAAGCGTATAGAAAAATGAAGGTGCAATTTTGATGTATACAGCAAAATGCCTTACCTTTTGTGACAAATTTTGTTGCAGATGTGGAAGGCATTTCAGAGTTTCTGATGCTTCCAGTGGGAGCTGTATTTGCTACTTCTTTACCACCCGCCTCATAACTTTCTTCTGAGCTACAGAGGTTCTCCTCTTGCTTTATTTTAATATTTTTGCCTTTGTCAGCTGATATTAAATGTCTATTTTCGTTGACTGGAAAGGTATCTGCACGTTGCTTTTTCTGTTTGAAAAACAATCCATCTGGAGAGTTCAAAATGTGACCTTGGAGAGGAGCTTTCTTAGGTAACAGAGTTGGAGAAGAAATTGATGGAGAATCCAAAACTGCCTGGAACAGCCGCTGTCTAGGAACAAAATACAGCGCTAGATCAATTTACAAAACTATTTTTCTATTTTTTTTTCCTCAGGATTCTTTTCAACATTTGAAAGGGAACAATAGCTAAAACCCAAGCATGATACCTTCTGGCTGAAGTTCTGCTGAAGCTTAAATGAAAGGATGATAATTAATGTATGCATCCACAATCAACTGAATACCTATCCCTTTATTTGTATCTAGCATTGGGAGCTGAGATACAAAACCCTTAAACCACCTACTATTTATTTATATAAAGAGAAGGAAAACTCATCAGTTATCCAATAATGCTGTAACATTTTTAGAAGAAAAAGGTATGACAACTCTAAATTCAGATCACTTGATGATGTCGTTGAAATTAGAAAAGTGTAGGGTGAGTGAGAGGAGAAAAGAAGAATTAAATAGCTGGGTCCCATAGCAGTTTTTTCACAATCAACAAGTACAATATTTTCACACCAGTAAAGTGTACTTTTAATTCCAGAATTTCTATCACACAATACACTTTATTTTCTTCACGTTTGTCCTTTTTTTTAATGCATTTTTCCCAAAATATATTTCAAACAATAAACACTGATCAGTCAATTTAGTATATTTTCAAAACAATTAACACAACACATCAGTTATTGGTTGAATATCTACAACTTTGTTTCTGTTATGCATTTTTCCTATGCATATCCCAGTACATATAATTAACCACAATCCTCTAATTGTGGTAGTCCTCTAAGCTCAAGAAATAATTACTATAATATAAAAACAGTCAGTTTTGTTTAAGGCTGATAGGAAAAGTTTGTACCTACGATTTTGTGTAATTTATGAACAGATGTAAAGAAGCTACAGAAGACACAATGGAATCTGCATGTATTTTAGGATGCACATAGCCTCTGGCCTATGTATTTAATACTTAATAAATAAACCTCTTATGAAAGATTTGGGCCACAAAATTCCTCCTAGGATGCTATGTTACATATTAATTTGAAGACTGCTGCAATTAATATTACTGAAAGTTGATTACAGATGCAAGTGATAACAAATTCATTTGTTACATTTTGATATAAAATGAAAGCAACATTAAAAATAATTGAAATTCTATATAATTTCCACTCCCCAAACACATCTTAAAACTTTTATGAATCTATTATCAATGCCAATTCAGACATAATGCAGTTATTTCATAGCAAAATGCTCAACCCAATTATTAATGACATAATAAAAGTACTTTTTGCAAAAGTACAAAAACTATTACTGAACTTTAAAAGTTATTAAGAGTCATGCTGTTAATACTAGTTGTTGCCTAGTTACAATAAGCTAACTGGTGACATCTAGTGGACACATAATAGGTCCAATGTTATTTGACATGTTCAATTGGTCAAATTAAACAAAAAAATTAAATTAATACAGATCTTTTATGGCATTTACCAGAGCAGATGTTAAAATCTCCTAAGACACAAAGCAAGCATTTTTCCTTCTAAAGGGGAGGCAGAAAAGGTATCTTCAGCTCATAAAGCCACGGATCCATAAATATATAAGCAATGAAAATGTTCTATTGAGCCAAAATATAATTTTCACTCATGAAAATATACCACAACCTTCAGAAAAACCAATTACAAACTTAATCAATTTTTAAAAACAATACTCTTTTCTACCAATGGCTCAAATCCACATAGATCAGTTCAGTTATAGCCGGAAGAGAAAAGACTGTGCTCCTTTCACTGAATTACTCTACTAGAAAAATTAAGGGTTGATGTTATTCAATGTCTACTTGTAACCACTAGGTGAGGTTATTTGGCCACACAGGTCAGATGTGATCAATACAGCAGATGATACTCTTATGGAAAGGCTCAGATCCTGACCAACCAAATGGTAACATTAAGGTTCTGCTACAGTATCTGGAGGTTGTTGGAGTCTCCATGGAGAACAGATTGAGGCTCAACCCTAGCGAGACTGAGTGGCTAAGAATATGTGTACTAACTGATTCCAGAGGTCTTCCAATTATAGGAATCAGTAAGAATTATTCTCCCAGGCAAATTTGGTTTGGAGGACTTCTAGTTCCTGCTTAAAGAACATGAAAAATAGAACAGAACAGAATAGAATAACAGAGTTGGAAAGGACCTTGGAGGTCTTCTAGTTCAACACTCTGCTCAGGCAGAAAACCCTATATACCATTTCAGCCAAACGGTTGTCCAATCTCTTCTGAATTATTCACAACTTCTGGAAGCAGGTTGTTCCACTGATTAATTGTTCTAACTGTCAGGAAATTTCTTCCTAGTTCTAGGTTGCTTCTCTCCTTGATTAGTTTTCATCCACTGCTTCTTTTCCCTTCCTCATGTGCTTTAGACAATAGTTTGACTCCCTCGTCTTTGTGGCAGCCCCTGAGATATTGAAACACTGCTATCATATGACCCCTAGTCCTTCTTTTCATTAAACTAGACATACCCCAGTTCCAGAAACCGTTCTTCATATGTTTTAACCTCCAGTCCCCTAACCATCTTTGTTGCTCTCCTCAGCACTCTTTCTACAGCACAGGTCTCAAACTCACAGCATCACGTTGCTATAACTTGATGTTTCTCAATGTTTTCTCCATTCACAGAACTGGGGTGATACCTCTGGCCCGTGGGCCGCCAGTTTGACACCCGTTCTAGAGTCTCAACTTCTTTTTTTACAGCATGGAGACATGCAGAAAGTATCTAGGAGGGCATTGCATAGATTTGTTTGCCAATTGTGTCAATTCCTGGATGAGAAGGCCTTTTTCGATCACCTCTGTATTACTGCAATATGCATTAATGGGGCTGCCCTTGAAGACTTGTGCGGAAGTTATAACTGACCCAAAATGTAGTACTGTAATTAGTTATGGATACACCTCACTCTGCCTTGTAACATTGCTATTCCATCAGCTGCTCTGATCAGTTTCAGGATTAGCCTCCAGGTGCAAATTAAGGTGTTGATGATCATTATAAAGATCTTCATGCTACAAGTCTTCTCTGTTGCTGTATCTGCCATTTGGAATAGTATAGTATTTACCCATATAGCCCAACCACTGCAAATTCCAAGAAGATACTATAGATTTGAGGTTTTTCCCAAGGTTCTGGATTAGGATATGGCCCAGACAAACATTGGGTATGATTGATGATTGATTTTTCACCTGAGCATACTCATCATTTTAAAGTAGACATCCTTATAAATCTCCTAAATAAATAAATACAGTTCATAATTATGCAAAGTTCACCCAGCAAATGGAAAACAAATCTCTTTCAACTTGCTAGATGGATCAATGGGAAAATGAAATGGTGAGACTCCAAAGTCAAACATGTAATATCTTCCCATTTGTTTCACATATACATCCATGTTTTCATAGTCCCAAATGTGCTTTTTCAAGGGGCAACTGGACTTTCTTGTTTTTCTTTCAATTCAAAGAGAAACAAAAAAGTCCAGTTGCCTCTTGAAAAACCAACTTTGGCACAACTATGACCTGGATGCCTGAGAATCTCCATGTCCATGTTTTTAATACATCATTATATCATGGCACCCTCCTCAGAATGTAAAGATATGAACAATCACAAGGTATGTCTAAACTGTACTATTTATGCTAGTATTTAGCCAAAGATACTATATTGGACAGCTATTGCTTTGGTTCTTCTTCAAGTCAAAAACATATAGATTATCTGACTTCCCTGATACGTAAGATTTATACATATCCATTAAAGAAATTTAAAAAATGGTGAAAGATTATAATCCAATATCAAATTGGATGAGAACAGCACTACTTGACCTTAGAAATATTAGACAAAGCTTTAAACGATAAAATAAAAGTTCCAATAAATCATTTGACACTCAGACAAGTTAGAACAAAGTACCAACTAAAATATTAATGTTGTGGGATTTAAAACATTATTATCTAAATTATCATTGATTTTCAAGAAATAGAAGCATTCTGAGTTAAACACAATTTTGTCACATTTAAAGCAAGCTTCCCACATACCTTCTAAATATAAGCATAATTAAACAAATATATGAAACATAAATAGTGCAAAAGGATGAGAAGAAAATTACTAATGGATAAAATGCAGTAATATAATGCCTTTAAAATGTTAACCATTTATAACCACATGAATTATGAAATATTGTTAATATATTAATGCCAACTCAGTATATACATGCCTGTGTCTCTTTATCTATCCATCTATAATTTATATTATATTGAACCTTCCAGAAACTCTAGGCAGTTTACAAAAATCTTGTAAAATATTAGAAATCTGAGTTATAAGGAAACTTCTAATGACCTTGCAGAAGCCATCAGTGTTGTTCGAACAAAAATATAATATTACTTAGTGATGACTAGCTTTTGGAAAAATACTATTAAAGAAGAAGCAAGTTTCAACTCTGAGTGGAGGCCATTCTAAAGCACGAAGGATATTCAATAATAATAGTAACACCTCTTAGTATTAATTAATACCAGATGGTTAAATTTTGGTTGGAATTATGTTAACACTTTAAGCCCAAGTCCTGCAAGGCTTTAGATACCACCAGTATTTTGAGCCAGTAATTAAATAATTAGATAATTAGAACTGCGGAAAAACAATTACTACCAACCTGCCTTCCATTGAGGACTTGTACACTGCACAAGTCAAAAAGAGGACTGTGAAAATATTTACAGACCCCTCACATCCTGAACATAAATTGTTTCAACTTCTACTATCAAAACGAAAACTATAGAGCATTCCACACCAAGACAATTAGGCACAAGAATAGTTTTTTCCCCTGAATGCCATCACTCTGCTAAACAAATAATTCCCTCACCTCTGTCAAACTATTCAGTAAGGCTGTATTACTATTAGTCTTATCATCGTTCCTATTGTTAAGTCCTATGACGCCATTGACTTGAATTGCTAGCTGCTGATTGGCTAAGACGCGAGCAACCAACTAGCGAGAGAATCCAGCTACCCTATTGGTTAAGCATCTGACAGCTCTAGTATAAAAGGGCTGTCAGCTGTCAAA